GTGAGGAGCTCGAGGAAGAGAGGGGAAGAACAGAGGAAGTGAGGGGAAAGGGGAAGAACAGAGTGGCTCGGGTGGACGAAGGGTTTATGTAGGTCGACCTTTAGTACCGGTTCGTGCCACAAACCGGTACTAAAGGTGCTGGAGGGGCCCCAGACTGACAACACCCTGCCACCACTCTCTTTAGTACCGGTTCGTGGCACGAACCGGTACTAAAGATTCGCCACGAACCGGTACTAATGAGAACGGCCGGCTAGCCGTTGGAACCGGCACTATTGGACACATTAGTGCCGGCTTAAAATCAAACCGGCACTAATGTGTCTCATATTAGGTCCTTTTTCTACTAGTACACCAAAGAGGCCACCATCATACTAGAAGCGGTGGCATCACATGACTTATGGATTTGGCATGCTTTCTTTGGAATGTCGGGTTCTCACAATGACATCAACGTGCTTCAATCATCTTCGCTGTTCAGGAGGCTTTGCAATGGGGAATCACCGTTGTGCAACTACACCGTCAACGACCGAGAGTACAACATGGGATACTATCTTGCCGATGGTATCTATCCTCAGTGGGTGGCATTTGTGAAAACCATATCCGAACCGCATGGCAATAAATAGGGCCACTTTGAACAATGCAGGAAGCGGCTAGGAAGGATGTGGAGAGGGCATTTAGTGTGCTTCAAGCTTGTTGGGGGATTGTGCGTAGCACTGCAATGATGTGGGAATCAGAAACTTTATGGCAACTGATGACATATTGTGTTATTTTGCACAATATGACTGTCGAGGATGAGGGTGATGGTGTAGGTCAAACCAATGATTTTGAAGCACCTGGAGAACTAGTTGAAATCCCAGAAGATCAAGATGCATCTAAGCTTATGAACTTTCTGTAGATACATCAGAATCTTCAAGATCATCAGGTGAACACGCAGCTACTCAATGATCTTGTGGAGCACATGTGGACCCATAATGAAAACCAAGGAGCTAATGTTTGAGTTGTGCACTTAAAATAAATTTTATGTAAACACTATCTATGCTCGGTACCAACATTTGTTTTTTTTTACATTTGACATTGGCTTGTATGATCGGCGTGCATGGATTTGCATGGATTTGAGAGTCTGGATTTGAAATATGTGGATGCCGGGAGCGAAATAAGAGGGCCCGTCCGGATGTGTCCGTGTGCGTGCCTGGGCTCGTCCGCAGACGTATATGGGGTCGGATTTGTCAAGTCCGGCTGTAGATGCTCTCACGTAAGTTCAGTTGCTTCATCTTGTCGTCATTTGCATATGCTTCTTGTCTTTGCATTCTCGTTCTCATACATATGTTGTTTGCTAGAAAGTGGTGGCGGACACTTTATATCATGAGGTGGAGAAGAACTAGTTTGCTTTTAGCCATTGTTGGATTATATTGAATGGCAAGCCGAAGTGGAACAAAGTTGTGGCCGATCTCAAGTCCGGCAAGAAAAGGAATGATGGCTCAAGTTCCCACCAATCAATTGGGTTGGACGATGAAGAGGACGATATTGTCGTCACGAATGGGAGAGCCACCGTGCCAAAGGATAACCTACAAGTCATGGAAAACAAGTGGGAGAAGGCACGGGCCTCCCGTGATGCCGCGGCCACAAAAATGTCGTCCACATGGATAGGCATTTTTCGGTAAGGGAGAACAAGAAAGATGAGATGTACAAGCTCATGTTGGATGCGCAAAATGAGAGGATGGAGTGGGACCGAAAGAGGGCAGAGAAGAAGTTTGAAATTGAGAGGGAGAAGATCGAGTTGGAGAAGCAAAAGGCGGCGATCAAATGGGAATTCAAGAAGGCCAAGACATTTGGTGAGATTGAGCTTGAGAAGGAGATGTTGCAACTCGCAATGGACGCGAAGATCATGTTGGCGGACGAAACCCTTCTGAATGAGCATGCAAAAAAGAGGCTTGCGGATAAAAAGGAGATCAACAACCATAGGGAGTACGAGGCGGCGAGGACGGCTGCGGCAGCGAATCATGCAGCCCGGATGCAGGCGGACATGACGAGTAGGACGCATTCCCTAGAGTAGGACACATTCCGCTCGAAGCAGGCGCCCGGCCAATGATCCGAAGCCATCCAGCATGCTCGGACATTGATTTTATTTTGACTTGTCCGTTTTGTTGAACTATGATTGTTTTGGCTTTGTTTCAAACTGTCGAATTCAGACAATTTACATTGTATGATCGATGTGTATGAATTATATAGATTTAAGGTTTAAAATTTGAGATATGTGAATGTGTGACGCAACGTATGAGGGGGCCGACGGATGCTGCCCGCTGAACCGGGAGAAGCATGATGCACCGATTCTTTACACAGTCCGTAAGGCCAACTCCACCGCACGACCGCAAACGGACGTCTGATCTGACTGCTTTTCGTCCGTTTAGGGTAGCAATGGGTGCTAAAATGGACACGCATGTCCGGCTCATGTTGAAGGCGCCCAACGCAGCTACTATACCCAAATTGTCCGCCTCAGTCGCGCGCCCACGCCTGCGCCTCGCCCGCCCGTGAGCTCATGCTCTCGCCGCGCCGCCGTCCAGCCTACCACGCCCCGCCCGCGCCTCGCCCCTCCCCGCTCGCGCCCGCCCCGCCCGCGCCCGCCTCG